TGTGGTGTGAGTGTGGTGTGTGTGTGTGTGAGTGTGAGTGTGAGTATGTGTGTTGTGAGTATGTGTGTGTGTGTGTGTGTTGTGAGTATGTGTGTGTGTGTGTGTATTTATATAAGAAGAAAATAACTGAACCCTTTACAAGCATTCCCTCTGTATATATGATATGGAAACAGATTTGTATTTTGTGATGTGTTACACTTACATATCTATTTTTCTTCCTTCCCCCCTTTGCCTAGTAATTTATCACGAGACAAGGAAAGAGATATAATTTCTGTAAATTGATTTTGTTTTCCACAATTTGCATTGTAGCAAGTTGGAGGTGAAGATGATGGTGAGGATGAGGAGGAAAATGAAGGAATGATTAACGGTGAGGAGGACAAAGACGAAGTGTTTGGTGTAACGTCTGTCATAAATCTCACATCCAGAAAGGTAAGATTTAGTTACCCATTGGATGCAGATAGCATGATTATATGTAATGTCCACTGTAATTTTATTTAGGGGTCGTTCACAATTGTCAACATTTTCACGAGCGTACAAAACGTACACTTTTTCAGGACCCCCTCCCCCCCTCCCAAAAGTGTACAAAATAAAATGTTGATTTCTCAGAAGAACTATATTCAAGAAATAATACACTCTACAGTACAAAAAATATCGCCAAGCAACTAGTTAAAAAAAAAGCCAAAGTAAAACGTGGTAAAACTTCAAAATCCACCAAATTCAGAAATAAAAGAAATCGACATTTTTATGTTTTCAAAAAGCGTACGCGGACCTCAGACCCCCTCCCCCCTAGCGTACGGTTTGTACGCCCGTGAAAATGTTGACAATTGTGAACGACCCCTTAGTTAATTTTGTTTACACAGCGATGTCACCACAACTGCTTAGTAACCAAGGACTTGATTACTTGCCCTACCTATCTCACCTGTTTACACTTTTCCTTGGTAGGGGTTTAATAACTGTATCATGGTATCTGTAACTAATCATGGTATCAGTAACTATAAAAGCAGTATTAATGTTGATAGGATTTTCCACAAATTCAAGGAATGGGCAATTCATTTGTGGTCATTAGGGCTTCTTATTTCCTACTTGGTGACTGAGCACTTGTGGAAGCAGATTTGTGCAACAAATTTCACAAAAGACTGCAGTGGACAGTATATAAACCTACAAGCATTAGGCTAATATAGGGATGTGTATATATGTATATATATATTTATATTTATATTTATATTTATATTTATATTTATATTTATATTTATATTTATATTTATATTTATATTTATATTTATATTTATATTTATATATATATATATATATTTATATATATATATATATATATATATATATATATATATATATATATATATATATATATATATATATATATATACATACACACACACATACATGTATACATGTATACATGTATACAAGTATACAAGTATACAAGTATACAAGTATACAAGTATACAAGTATACAAGTATACATGTAGACATGTAGACATGTAGACATGTAGACATGTAGACATGTATACATGTATACATGTATACATGTATACATGTATACATGTATACATGTATACATGTATACATGTATACATGTATACATGTATACATATATACATATATATATATATATATATATATATATATATATATATATGTAATATATATATATATATATATATGGAGGGAAGAAAACTAATAATGATGTTAAAATTATCATAGATTTGTGTCAGATATTTTTTCTTTCATAGATAGATTTTTCATATACATATCATGCATTATATGAGACCAAGATTCTAGAGGTAACAGTAAAGTCCATGGACTTGCCCCATATATTCTCATGCACAAAAATTACTATATTACTGTTTTTTTGACTATAATTGTAAACTTCTTAAATCTTGGCAGGATGAAACTTGCATAGCAGGTCTTAGAACAGCTCTTGTAGAAAAAAGTTCAGCCCATGCCAGTGATTCAACAAACCAAATGTTGCGGGAAATCCTAAGTAATGAGAGTAAGCATGTGGGATTTTTGATCTCGGAGAGAGTGATCAACCTTCCACCACAGTTTTCCCTGCCAGTGTTTGAGAGCTTAGGGTAAGTGAGTGTTAATGTAAGAACTAGTGATAATGATCAGAATTTTTTCTGTATTATCTGTGCCTTTGAAAATGAGCTAATAATGCATTTCTTGTGGAATGTGATAAAACTTTTTATTCTTACTTTACTTTACTTTCTATACCAAAAATCTTGCCAGTTACTAAAACTTCATGTGTATTGAGTAATGCTCTCGTCAACAGAAAAGAAGTAGAAGAGGCAAAAAAGAAGAAAATGCCATACAACTTTTCCTATCTTCTGTTGATCTCAAAAGTATATAAAACAGAAAAGAAAAAGAAAAAGAAGGTTATAGAGACAGAGATATGGAGCAATGCAGAAGAGGAGATTATGTCAGAGGTAAGTACCAATTATAAGCAGATTTATGTTAGTCTGTGTTCTTTAATTTTTCATTGCAAATTTTTTGGGTGAAGTGTTTTTATGAACATTCTTGTGTGTTTCATGAATACCTTCATAGCATCTTATATACTCTTTGTCCTGAGCACACAAGCTTAGAACAGTTCAGTTAAATGAAACTACTAACTTTAACCCATTCACGTCGGGTGCCACGCATGCGTGACATGCCCACTGTGAGTTTACTTGTTTAAATGTTTTTACACATAGATGGCTACACTTGTACTTGTACTGCTTGTCTCGCCTACTTACCCTTTTCTTTAATTTACAAAAATATTTTGCATTATCTTATTTTGCTGTTACTAATGTTTATAACATTATAGTATTTATAATGTTTATAATAAAAATGAATATCGATATTCCTAGCACTAATAAAAATACATTTTCCGGCCAATTCAAGTAAAGGTGAAATCAGGTAAGGCAGAGCCATATAGTGTAGAGATATTTCACAAAAAAATACTAAATATGAGCACAGCATATTCCCCGTTTTTTGTTAATTTTTACCTGTCGCGAATGGGTTAGTAAATAACATTGGTTTCTTGTGAATGCCACCCATTTTATGACAGTTTTCACCATCTCATGATATTTTTTTGTTTATCTACAGGAATGTATTGACAGCTTTGAGTATCCAGTAAAGGGAGACACAGGCATGTCTGGAGAATGGGATGAGGATGATGAACAGTACACCCCTTACCGACGAGTGCTCATCCTAGATGCTAGCCGCATGCCTGAGATTATTGTGAAAGTGAAAGATGCTATTTATTGAATTTTTGGTTATTGAAATAGTAATGGATTCAGAAATACAGATCAAAATCATA